GGATTACTTTGGTCAACGTGCTGTGGAAGATCTAAGTTGGGCTACTCGCGGACTACTTTGGTGAGTGTGCTGTGGAAAGGCTAAGCTACTCAGGGACCACTTTGGTGAGTGCGCTGTGGAAAAGCTAAGTTGGGCTACTCAGAGACCACTTCGTGAGTGTGCTATAGAAGAGCTAAGTTGGGCGACCGGGCGTACTGAAGTCCGAAGTTCTAAAAACCTAACAACCGACAGGCCTACGGGTGAGAAAAACGCAGCTTTTGTTGGCTTGATAAGTACATTGCAACTCTACAACTACCTTGGAATCACTTTGGTAAATGCGCTGTGGAGAAGCTAAGTTGCGCTACTAAGAACTGTGGTTGCTGTGGAAGAGCTAAGATGAGCTACTTAGAAATCAGTTTGTGAATTTGCTGTGGAAAAGCTAGGTTTAGCTACTCAGGGATCAGATTGGTGAATGTGGTGTCAATACTTAGAGGTCATTTTGGTGAATGTGCTGTGGAAGTGCTAGGTTGAACTACTCAGGGGTTACTTTGGTGAACAAGGATCACTTTGGCGAGCGTGCTGTGGAAGAGTTAAGTTGAACTAGTCAGAGATTACTTTTGTGAGTGTGCTGTCAAAGAGCTACGTTGAACTACTCAGGGATTACTTTGGTGAACAGGGACCACTTTGGTGAGTGTGCTGTGGAAGAGCTACTTTGGGCTACTCAGGGACCACTTTGGCCAGTGTGCTGTGGAAGAGCTAAGTTGCACTACTCAGGGGCCACTTTGGCCAGTGTGCTGTGGAAGAGCTAAGTTGCGCTACTCAGGGGCCACTTTGGCCAGTGTGCTGTGGAAGAGCTAAGCTGGGCTACTTAGGGACCACTTTGGCCAGTGTGCTGTGGAAGAGCTACTTTGGGCTACTCAGGGACCACTTTGGTGAGTGTGCTGTGGAAGAGCTACTGTTGGCTACTCAGGGACCACTTGGGCCAGTGTGCTGTGGAAGAGCTAAGTTGCGCTACTCAGGGATCACTTTGGCCAGTGTGCTGTGGAAGAGCTAAGTTGCGCTACTCAGGGACCACTTTGGCCAGTGTGCTGTGGAAGAGCTAAGTTGCGCTACTCAGGG